GTCTTATGATTAGGAGAACACTTTTAATGCAGTAGCCACTGACATATGCCAGGCCTTTGGAGATTTGGGGTTTCCAACAGGCAAATCCCTATGTGCAAGAAACTACAGTTTCTTCCTTCTCCAAAGTCTGTGAAAGACTCTTCTTGTCCTTCCCTTTTTATAGCTCCTATCTTCCCCTTTCAAAAAGGAGAATTATGCTGACACAATCACCTTATGTCCAATTACTTAACATCCAGCAGATGGTTGCTAAAATTCTTGCATCAGCAGTAAGATTTTAATTATTCTTTGGTAACTGTACATCCTGGCAGTAGTAAACCCTGGCAACTGTAGCCATTTTCATGCCGTCCTTATCTTTGATGGCAGCTGAAATGTGTTTATGCATCCTTGACACTAAGCAAATATTTTGTTGTTCTTTGGCTTCTTTATTTCCTGTAAGTTTGATCTTGACAGTTTTACAACATCAGTGGCATACCAACAAGAAATTTGTCCAATGACATCTGTGCAGTCTGTGGACAGAAAATCTTTGGGGATATAAAAAAATAAGGGATCACTGAAAATACCTAACAGCTGTCCTGTAATCATGGATAGCCTTTCCATTTAATTATGAAACTATTGTTTTCTCCTCTTTTATGCTGCATTAAAAAATAATGATGACAATAAATACCAAGAAAAAAAGGAACTAAAACCACATTCAGAAACAACATTGTGCAGAGGCAAAAATAAAAAGGAACCCAAACTATTTTTCAGCCCTGTAACACAAGTTGAGGCCATGCAGATTTCTGGCTGACAAACTGATGCAAGAGTGGTGATAATCCCATAGTTCCAGGCTTAAATCCACCTTCCTTGTCCTTGGTGCACAGCCTTTGTGGGTGTGCCTGGCAGGACATTAGACCAGGCATGCTGACCCCCCAGCCAGGCCAGCTAATTCAGGCTCCCTCCTGTGCATTGCAGAGGATTTCCTCCAGCTGTGCCTGGGGCTGCCTGCCAGGTGGTTTTAAGGCAGATGTGGAACCCTTCTAACCAATGTCCTGTACCCTGGAGCCTGGCAGAAGAGCCAGTGACCCAGGGATACCAAGCAACTCCACATCTTGCATTCCAGAAACTCAAAATCAAGAGTATTGAATATGTGCTGGAACAATGTTACTAATCACTCACTTCTGCACTTCATAAAAGTATCCTGGCTTCTTGTGAGCTGGAAAATATGAATACCAGTCTGGATGTTCAGGACGTTGGATTCAGCTTTACAATAACTCCAAATAGTCCAAATATTTTAAGTAATTTGAAACTGTTTGGCTATAAAACCAGGCAATGTCCACACTCAGTCATTAAAATTATCTGCTGATGGTTTGACCAGATTTGCAGATGTGAGCATTGAGTCTTTTTTGCATTTGAAAGATTCTTTAACAATACACTTGATACTGGGTTTCATGAATCCTGCATCCACAGCTGGTTTATTGTTGGCAAGAACCAAACTCGCCCAGACTGCCCTGAGAAAGCTGATTTGAAGGGGTTGTTCAGCAACCCTATCTGTAACATGTGTACTTTTCATTTGGATTTTCTAAACTGTAGCCTGATTACTTAGTAATTCTTGTTTTGATCTGCAGTGGAGGGATGAGATGGCCACATTAAATGAATGGAAAATCTGTTGTTGTTATTATTAAGGAAAAATTATATTTAGGGAAGATGATAGGTCTGTTTGGCTTTACCTTATCTAAGACCCCAAGCAAGCTAGGAACAGAAAAGTACATATATATTTTCCTTCTTGATTTCAAGACATTCAAAATTAATTTTTATAATGAGAAGCACACTTTAAAGAATAAAAATCATAATTTTATAAAGACCACGCAGTGGATTTTGTTCTTTAATAACATTTTAAAAAATTATGTAATGCACTTTCAGAACTTTTAAATTATGTAATGCACTTTTTCCTTTTAGTAGTTAGCAAACAAGCTTAATTTAATAGCTTAATTTTCCCTTAAGCTATTAAAAAAATAGTTGAAGCTCTGCTGCTGTAGTTTTCTGTAGAAAACTGCTTGAGTGAAAGCAATGTTTAGCTTATTTTCTTGGAGCCTATTTTAACCATAGGATACTTAATTTTAACGTTACCTCTATAAATAAAAAAAAAAAGGAGATTCAATTACTGGGGGTTAAGGAAGTAAATTATGAACGCTAAAAAAAAGTAATTTCAAAAATTTAACCCAATACTGTATCTTTGGTTTGGACTAAAAAAAAAATACCAAGATTTACCTATTGTTGCATTTTCTTTCCAGTTTCTTTATGAAGAGATTGTGTGGGAACACCCAAATATTTTATGGACAGCTTCTGGACTGTCTCTGCTATCTGGTGGTTTGGCAGTGAATTGTTACAGGCATCATCCAAGGCATTACTACTCACTGGTAAGTATAGTTCTGGAATAGGATGCAGAATTTAATTTTTGGTGAAAATTACAAGTGTTGGACATTTACCTGCCTACAATGATATGCATATTCTGTAATTAATTTTAAAAGACTAGAGAAAATGGCAACTGGTGGAATTCTGATGTGCTAGAAACACTTTTGTCTCTTTTTGCATTACAGCGAGGCTCTGCAGCATGCTATGGAAACAGCATGTTTTGGAAGCTTGTGCTAGAAAAAAAAATAGACTTCCCAGAATGAAGAAATAGATAGCAGAAGTAGCTTCTGAATTCAGATTAAACATGATCAGTATTTTAAGAACCTCTACATCGTTAGTAGAAATCAGAGATAAACTTACTTAACTTAAACTTTATATATATATATATATATAAGAATAAAGAAGATATTTTATTAAGTCATCTATAGGTGAAAAAAGATTTAGATGCTAAAAAAATTATGAGCTTAAAAAAAATAAAGAGCAAATCTTGAATAAATAGAAACAAGGTAGCTTTTTTAGCTTAGATGAAGTAACAAGTTAGTAATTCTTATTTTGTGTTATGCCTACATTAATAAATGCAAAAATGCATGTAAATAAGCTGATAATTTTCATTGTGCTGTCAAAGTTGCCTGCTTGTGGGTGTAGTGGAAGCTGGTGTGTCCTCAGCCTTCCCAAGGGCTGGCAAAGAACAGGGATACCTTGCTCCCACTGCCACTTTGGTTGTGTAGAGGAAACTTCCAGTCAGCTCAGTTCCAGTGAGGTGTTTGAACAGGTTTCTGTACCACATTAGATGCCCAAGATCAAAACAGCAATAAAAACACTAACTTGGACATGTCCTCATCACAGTTACAGCCAAATGTTGTAGGTGTTTCCATTTGAAAGCTTTTAAGACCTGCTTCTATATGTGCCTGGAAATGTGCTCAGCTGCTCCCAAGTCCTGAACTGATCCAGAAGTTCATAGTCCTTCTGGCCTATCAGAATCAAGATATTAGGGTTCACCCAGAATTTTCTATGGCTGCAAGAAAAATATCACAGAAACATTACTTTCTTTCTACATCAGCTCTGAATGATGGGTCTGGTGCCAGTCTTCCATTTGTTCAATTTTTCAATTAGGACTCTAGTCCCAGTAACCTTCTCAGGAAATCACAACTCCACCTGACAGCAAACACAATGCCCTATGTGGGATGTTCTCCACCCACTCTAGTTTTGTGGACTACATCTACAGAGAGAGCAAAAGGTAGGAAACACTCTTTTCATGCCTATGTTAAGGTTCCTGAGCACAGAGAGGAACGTAGTGTTGGGTTCAAGGACGATATTTGTGTTTCCCACACTGTAGCTGACAGCAGCTTAAACTCCACTTGTAAAAGTCAGAAGAGCATTTGAACCCTACTCGGAAGCATCTATTGCAACATATAGTACAATGAAATTAGACAAATATCACCCTCCATAGATGTCTTTCATAAAGGAAATTATAGAAACTAAAAGCTACAACAGACAGAACTGCAGTGAGAAAGCACATTTCTACATTATGCCTTGCAACCACAATTTTCAGGAGAACTGGGCATTTAATTTTCTGTGACAATGAAATACAGAGAATCAGTCCTTAGCTTCACTGATTAGGAGAACTAGGACAAAATTATTTGCTGCAAAAACTGACTTTTATAGCATGTGATGAGAAGTGGCTTATAGAAGGATGTAGAAAAGCTCTTGGCTAGGCAAGTTCTCTCCTGAAACTTTTGCAAAGATGAAGATGTATAAACTACATAGCTGTATATCTGAACAACTTTTCATCATTAAATATTTAAATGAAACAGCTTTTGCTCATACTGCTGCTTAACGTGTGTAGATAACTACTCTTGTTTCACCTCAAAAGGCAGCTCAGCACCACACATCCACGCTCTCACTCTCCCTATAGTGGAGAAGGGGAGAAAATCTGAAGGGTAAAAGTGAGAAAACTTGGGAGTTCAGATTAAGGCAGTCGAACAGGTAAAGTAAAAGCTATGTTCACAAGCAAAGCAGAAGAAAGAATTAATTTACTACTTTCCATTAACAGGCAAATGTTTAGCCATTGCCATGAAAGCAGGACTTTTACTTGGGAAGGCAAATATGGTAACCCCAAACAACCTCCCTTAGTCTTTCTTTCCAACAACTTTTAGCGCTGATTATGTTGTCATGGGTCATGACATTATGTATGGGACATCCTTTTGGCCAGCTGGGATCAGCTGTCCTCGCTGTGTACCCCCCCAAATTATGACACACCACCTACCTGCTCGCTGGCAGGATGGCGTGAGAAACAGAAAGTACCTTGATGCTGTGCAAGCACTGTTGAGCAATATCTAAAAAGCCACTGTGTTATGGAGACTGTTTTAGGCACAAATACAAACCACAGCACCCCAGAAGGAGCTATGAAGAACGTTAACTCTCTTCCAGCGCAAACCTGTACAACTATTCAGAACAATAGCTTCTAAAAGTAGTTATCTCATAGCAAGTGTTAGAATTTGCAGTAGCCCAGCTTTCTGTTCTTGAGATGCAGATAAGTGATGGAACAAACAGGCAAGTGAAACAAATCCAGAGTAAATTCACTACATATTTATTTCTCATGCCACTGTCTAGGACCTCAGAGATATTTTCAAATTATACCAAAACACCTGCTGCTGCTCTTCGTCGAGAGGCCACTCCAGGTAGGTCTTTGTGTTCATGATCTTCCGCAGCTTGCAGAACCTCTTGGGAATGGCTTTGCTCTGGATGGGCTCCAGGAGGATGAGAATCGCCGCGTCGTTGTTCTCATCAAAGAGGCGGAAATGCGAGAAGTCCAGCTCGTACTTGCACCACTCGCTCCGCACAAAGTGCTCGGACAGCACAAAGAGCGTTTTGCGGCTCTTCTCAATGGAGTCAATGATGTTGTCCACGATCCACTTCCCCGGCACAAAGTCCCGCTTGTGCAGGCAGAGGCGGAAGGGAGGGCAGGCCTGCTCCAGCTCCCGCACCATGGTGTTCTCCACCCACTCGGAGTCGTTCTCGCTGTAGGAGACAAAGGCGTCGTAGCAGACGTCCTTCGGCGGGGCGCGCTTGGGCTTCCGCTTGGCCTGCAGCCACGCCCACGTCATCCGCAGGTACCACACCACGTGGTACTTGTAGCTGACGGCCACCAGCAGCAGGACAACCAGGAACACCAGGACGCAGATCAACGACACCACCAGGGACCTGTGGCACTCCATCAGGGAGAGGCGCACGGCGCCAACCTGCGCCCCTCTCACCGCCAGCGGAGAGTCACACACGTACCTGTCCGGCCACCCCACCAGCACCTGCGCTAGCCCGGCCTTGTGGTGGACGAAGGAGAGGAACTCACAGGAGCAGATGAAGTTGTTGTCACGGGCATCCAGCAGCTCCATTCTCCTGAAGGACTCAAACTCCTCCTTGGAGAAACTGTTCAGCTTGTTTCTTCTGATGGACAAGGACACCAAGTTTGGAATGGGTGCAGCACCTGGCAGCGTTTTCAGCTGGTTTCTTGTGAGGTACAGCTCCTTCAGAGATAGGAGCTGCAGTCCAAACTCCTTCAGGTTGTTGCCACTGACATCCAACACTTCTAGTGATTGAGGAATGCAGCGTGTTACTTTAGGAATGTGAGTGCTGGACAGGTTTAAATATTTCAGGTGTTCTGGCCATGTACACTCCCCTGGAATCTCAAGAAAAGTATTTTGGCTAATGTCAAGATTAATCAATTTGGGTAGTCGAGATATATACACTGCAGTCAGCTCCAGAGATTTTAAAGAGTTCTGACTTAAATTTAAAGTTTGCAATGAAGGCCAGGAACCTTCACAGATTGTCTCATTTAAACGATTATTTGCAAGCAAATTTTCATGAAAGTCCAGATACAGAAGTGATGAAAAATTTCTTGCAAGTTCGCATGGTACCATGAAAACATAAGAGCTTGTGATAGTGAGTCTTTTTAGTTTGTTTATTTGTGACTCCATGCCTTTCAGGTCAAAAAACAAATGAAAATTCTGAATCACTGCCTTTATTATCGTTATGGTTTCAACAAAACTTTGTCCACTCCTTGCAATTTCTGCAGTGTTCCAGTTTCCCTTCCCCTCAAGCACACAATTGATTGCCTGTAACTCTTTTAAAGAGGTGATTTTCTTCAGTGACACTATTGTTCGGCTGATAGTCTGATCTGTGAATAAAGCTTCTTTAAATGTGAGTTTCTGCAGCCTAAAAGGACGTCTAGAATTCTGCACCAAGCTTTTTTTTTCAACCGGTAATTCTATTTCTGCCACTTCCAGCCAAGTGACAGAGTACACAAGGTCCCTAACAATTTCTGAGAATGTAGTAATACTTCTTATATTTATGATCATGTGATTAATCTGCTTAATTGATTTCAAACTTCCCTGCTCATACTGACTGAGATTGCTACCATCAATCCACAGCTTGTGCAGAAACTCAATGCCCTCAAAGTTCCCTTGCCTTATCACGGAGAACTGCGGGTTGCCCAGGTGGAGGGAGCTCAGGTTCCTCAGCCTAGAAAAGGGGGGGCTCTGCCCCAGGTCTCTGTAGGAATTGCCTTGAAGATGGAGGTGCTGGAGTGAAAAAAGGTGCCCAAACCACACAGGGGACAAGTGAGCCAAGCTGTTATTTGATAAGTCCAAGAGCTCCAGTTTTTCCAGGGACTGAAAGGAGTCCTCATCTATGGAGCTGATTTTGTTGGACTGCAGCAGCAGGGTTCTCAGGTTCACAGCCTGCTTCAGGTCCTGGGATTGGATGTGCTTTATCCTGTTGTGAGCCAGGTTTAACCCTGTGATTTTGGCTGTGAGCCCAGGGGGAATGAATTCCAAGCCCATGGAGGAGCAGTTGCAAAGCTGAGTGGCATCGCATGAAGGACAAGTCTGCTTCAGTGCTTGTTGCTCGGAGAGGCTTGCAGCTAAGGCCATGTAGATGGCCAACACTTGCCAGGTGTGTGTAGTTCTTGATTTGTGGTCTGCTTGGATGGACATTTTGCTGTAGGAAACAGAAAAAAGAGACGGTAGGTTCAAATTTTAATTTCAAACCGCAGCTGAAAACTTTTGAAATGCTGCACCACTTTTTTAATAATCTCAGATTAATTTTTTTAAAATGCTATCCTGTGATGTTAGTCTTCCTCTCCTACTTGACCTTCTCAGACCTGCAACCATGGTGTGTTGCTCATCCCTGGAGTACAGCCATATCACTTGTCAAGAGCCATAAAGGACCATTCTTAGTATCCTGCTTTTCTATGGCTCTCACCTCTTTCATCTCTCACATTATGCTCCCTCTCAGCAAAGAAGTTACAGCTGGATGTTTCAGCTCCAAATAGGGGAAGATGGTTAGATCATCAATGATCTGAATGAGGGAAATGAGTGCACACTCAGTTTGCAGACCACACCAAGTTGGGTGGGAGTGTTGATCTGCTGTAGGGTAAGGAGGGTCTACAGAGGGATCTGGATTGGATGGATCCATGGCCTGAGGCCAACTGGATGAAACTCAACAGAATGAAATACCATGTGCTGCACTTGGGTCACAACAACTCCATGCAGCACTAAATGCTGTGGTCAGAGCAGCTGGGAAGCTGCCCAGCAGAAAAGGATCTGGAGGTACTGGTCAACAGGCAGCTGAATATCCAGTATATGTCCAGGTGGCTAAGAAGGCCAATGGCATCCTGGCCTGGATCAGAAAGAGTGTGACTAACAGCACCACTCCCCATGTACTCGGCACTGGTGAAGTCACGCCTCAAATCCTGTGTTCAGTTCTGGTCCTCTCACTTCAAGAAGGACATTGAGGTACTGGAGCCTGTGCAGAGCAGAGCAATGGAGCTGGGGGAGAGTCTAGACTGTAAGTCTTAAGAGAATCAGCTGTGGGAGATATAGTTGTTTAGCCTGGAGGAAATGGAGGCTCAGAGGGGACTTTATCATTCTCTACAACTGCCTGAAATGAGTCTGTAGTCAGTGGGGGTCAGCGTAGTGAGTGGGGTCAGTCGCTCCTCCCAGGTAACAAGCGATAGAAAAAGAGGAAACGGCTTCAAGTTGCACCAAAGGAAGTTTAGACTGGATATTAGGAAAAAAATCACAGAAAGGGCAGTCAAGGACTGGCGCAGACTGCCCAGGGAAGTGGTGGAGTCACCATCCCTGGAAGTATTTAAAAGATATGCAGACATGGTGCTTTGGGACATAGTTTAGTGGTAGGTTTGGCAGTATTTGGTTAATGGTTTGACTCAATGGTCTTAAGGGCCTTTTTAACCAAAATGGTTCTGTGATTCTATGATTACAAGCTCTCACAGCCCGTGCAGCATCAGCCTGCCCATTCTGTATGGCTACGTGGCAGGCAGAAGCCCAAACAGAGCCTGCTCTCCCTCTCAGCCCTTCCAGTGGGCTGAGGTTTCCAACAGCACAAACTTTCCTGAAAGAGATCTGAGGGTCCCCTGCATGGAGTCTCACCAGCCTCAGGGCTTCTAAAAGCAGAGCTCTTGCCACACCCTTTTGCACACTGTGTAAGCAATTCACATTCTTTACTGGAAAGGCAGAACAACCTGATATGAAATGAAGCCTATCAGACTTTTCTGTAAAACAACACCAGTAATAGATGGGATATAGATGTTACTGTCACCCTATAAACAGTGGATATAATTAGAACAATACTGATTTTAATGTAAAGAAGGGCTGTGTTTCCTGCCACAGGTGCCAAAGAACAGTTCACCAAGTTTGAACCACAAACAGTTCCAGCAGTGCAGATGAACACTACCCATAAACCCTGAATAAGCAGGGGTTAAGTACTTACCCTGTGTACTGCATGCTGTGTTTCAGTCTCTTTGTGGGCTGGTCAAGGCATCTGAATGGTCACTTCATACCTGCAAGCACAACAAAAGCTGGAAATTTTTGGCAGGTCTGATGAGGTGATAGTCCCAAAGTGAGAAAATATTTCAGCCTCAAAATATTGTTCTCTTCAAACAAAACTTCATGTTCCCACTATCCTTTATCTAGGCAGCCAGTGAATCATAAGAGTTTGCATCTCCTCTCTAGTGGTGGCTCCCCTGAGGAAACCATGGCTTCTGAAGAGTCCAGGATTGTCCAGCATATATGGCTCACCCTTCAAACTCACTTTCAACCAATTCTACCATTGCTGCTGACTGGGGACACAAAAAATGAGAAGAGATTGTAGTTGAACTCTCTTCTTTGAAAGATAAAATTTAGTGTCAGTCTCTTCTTTTTGTCAGTCAACTCCCATTGCTGGAAAGGCTGATGCAACCATTTTGCGCAAGTCATAGTTTCACAATCACTTCCTCCACTATTAAGTGCAGAAATAGTTCCCAGGCAAACTGCATTCATCTCCCTGTGTCTCTACTTCCGATACTTTTTGTCTGGTAGGCACTGGGGGTTGTTCACTGCGCTGAGAAACAGAACATCTCAGCTCAACCAACTTATGTAAGTCTGTGAAACATTATCAATATATAGAGTGATGCATGTATTATATTAAGTGTTGGAGTCAAATTGCTTAGTCAAGGAGAGTACTATAGAAACACTCAGCATCCTTTATTTCCTAGGACACTACAGTCATATGTTGTCAACAGGAAATGAATAACAGGAATGATATTCTCTCTGAAGCAGAAGACACAGTCTGAAGCAAAGTATCTCTCTGTAAACATCAAAGGCAATTTTGAGGGAGGAGGTTTGATGGCATTCATTTTAACCTGACTGAAGTAATACATGGTTGGTGAAATAGCCAAGCATGCTGTTTGCATAAAGGGGCAGGGAGTCATCCTACCAGCTCTGAAAGGCAAGTCCTTTAAATTCAAACACTAACATGCCTATTGCAGTTACCATTTCTTTTCTGTGTTCAGAAATTGTTACCTTTTGCTGACCTCTTGCACCAAGAAGTACCTGCCTGAGAGCAGACAGATGGACTGATTCCTACCACTTGTCAGAGGGCCCACAGAAGCATCTGTGTGATCAAGGGTGGCAAAGCGCACAGAGAGCCCAAATGCACCTCATAGCAACCTTCAGTCCCACTGCACTGACATGAGCATTGCACATTAGGTTAAGAGAAAAAGAAATTGGAAGATTGAGATACCCTTGTATTTTCTGACTACTACAGAGGGTAGCTGATGAGCATAACATTGAAAAATAGAGGCAAAGCTGTGGGGCAAAGAGGAGAAGGGAAATAGTCTTTTAGTGAAAGGATGTCATCAACTTCCCCAAAGCCACCTCTTCCCTCTAGCAGCTGAAATGATTCTTGCTCTTCAACAGGGAAGACTTCAGTTTTCAAAATATTAACTCTGGAAATAAAGAAGGGAAATAAATCCTGCCAGTCATTACAAAGAGAGGGTCAAGTATGTTTATTTTTGTCTTCAAAAGTGCACCTCTCCAATACAGTAAAAAAATTTAGTTAATTTGAGAAGAGTTTTGGAGAAGAAGAGCATGTACATGATTCAGTGTGAAATGGGCACTCTCTTCTATCTGTTACAGCTTCATCGCCATGCATTTGTGGTGAATTGAGGTATGTACCAGCTATTTTTTAGAAGAAGCCACTTTTTCCTAACATCCAGGCTCAGCCACCTCTCATCACAGATGGATCTACACTGGGCCAGGCTTCTGGTTTCTCTCAGAAAAAGAAGTCACTGGTGTGACTATGGCCCAGTTCACAAACCAAGCAGTCCATTTCCACAAGCTGCTTAAAATGTCAAGAAATGTCAGGGCGACTGTCAGAGTTTATCGCATTACCCAGACTCAGGGAGGTTTGAGGATGTGCAAAAATGCTCTCCACAAGCTGCTCCACGCACACAGACAAGGTACCAGCCACCTGCCTCCCAGAGCATTACCTTTCAAATTGAGGTGCAGCATGGCTCAAAACTTCTTTTGAAATCAAAGACTCTAAAGAAGGAGAAAGCTGCTGTCTTTTAAGATGAGAACACTCTTCAAATGCTTTTCCTCCAGAGTAACTGCATGTTTAGCATTGAACAAAGATGCACTTTTTAGGTGCTTTCTCTCCCCTTCCAAGTTTAAGCTATAATTAACCTTCCTCTTTAATACTATTTAAAACAAGTCCCATGCCTCCAGCTACACTGTTTTCCTAAGAGAAGCACATGGTTCTCCAACAAAGCTGTGCCTTTGTAACTGCAGATGTTCCAAGCAGAGACACTTCATGAGCCTTTACCAGCAGTAAATGGGGATAAGATAGAGATGTGGCAATTATGTTTGAAGCTTTCTGGCTTTAAATGTTCCCCTTTATCCAACAGCAGCAAAGGAAGAACCCAAACTGGGCATGATGCCCTCTTTAAGCACTTCCCGTTCCCAGTCTCACACAGAAGGATCCTGCATTCCCCGCCCACTTCCTCTCTTTCCTTCTCTATGTCAGTGTCCACACTGAGAGCTGCCTGTTGCTTTTCTGCTGAGAAAGGACAAGTGAGCAGTGCAGAAGGGACCTAACCCAGGTCCCAGATCCCTGCCTCAAATAAAAAGCAGAAGCAGTAGAAAAGGGAGGGAGGAATGAAACTATTGACCAGCCTGTGATGTAAGCAGAAAGCATACTTTCCAAATCTTTGTAAACAGCACAAAACTGCTTCCTCATACTTACCGCTGGAAACCAGGATGTGTCGGTATGTCAGCTTGGCTGCAGCAGTGTCAGGCAGGCTGAACCTGGGATGCTTACCCTAAGTGTCCCCAGAAAGCGACGGCAAGGAAAAGCCAAAAGTCAAATCTGTCCTTGCAGTCTTTGGAGCAGGAGGTATAATACTCACGTAATTGAAAGCAGAATGGCTTGGCATCCTTTCATGGGTCTGGGAATAGATTCTTTGTGTGCACTGCTGGTGCCTGTGCTTTAATCTGTCTTGCAGAGCTTCAGATATTCATCTTCAAGCTACAACAAAAAGGTACACAATAACAAAAAGTAAACCATTTTAATTTTCCTGTGTTCTGTATCAGGCCTACCCTGCCAGCTGCTCAATCCTCTGGTTAGATCTTCAGACTTGAAGTTTAACTGCAAAGGACCCAATTATTTTGGTTTTTCTTCTGGGCAATCCTGCAGTTGTAGCAGAGCATGTTAATGATATAACTGGTTAGTCATTCAGCAGCCAGCCTACAGCACTGCCTGTGCCAAGGAAGCAGAGTTGTGGATTTATTTTTGTCATATCCTTCCTGAAAACTTTCAGTCAGAAAAACACAACATTGATTTTCTACCTTAATTGAGGAGCATCTTGCAGGGAAGTTTGCACGCTAAGACACCAAAAGTTATCTTAATGATATGGAAAGTTTCATTTTTCTAGAGTAGCTGTAACAGCGTGACTCAACAAGAGAAAACATGTAATCTCTGCCAAAATATTTTGGGTGAGTTCTTGACTCCCAAGGAAACTGCTTCAACAGGAAACAGCTTACATGCAAGGCAAAGCTGGACAACACAGTTCCTTTCTTATCTTCCCTTTTAGGTACAGTGAAAAAACTTGTTTCTTACAGAAATATTAGGATATACAGTAAATATATCTTTTCCAGTAATACAGTGGAAAAAAAGGCGAGTTTTGACACCCTATTCTGAAGACCACTGTGACAAACACACAAAATCCTGTTATCGCCACACATATTTTTTATTCCGAGATAAGAACTCTGAGACAACTCATATGGTACTGGGAGCTCAGAGTTCAACCCAAATGTGCTTGGGCAGGTAGGCTCCCAGCTTGCTGCTGCTGGTGATCCATCCCCTAAAAACAGACATAATCTAGAAATCATATTTTCTGCAATTTTCATAATGTTGATTGGTACAACATTATCAACGTACAAAGCTGGTTGTTAAATTTTTTTGGAGGTCTTCAGGAAATACTTCTGTGTAGCTTTCTCAAGTACCACTCAGTGTTTTGAACTAACTTTTTTCTTTGCTCTACATCTATCTCACTCTTCTGTGTGGTTCAGTTTGCTTTGCTGTATCCTAGGCTGTTAGACCTAGAGGTCATCTAATTAGGGCTGTCCAGAATGATGTTTGAACACCTAAGCCATATTTCCAGTTTTTAAAAGAAGAGGCACCATTCCTGTTCCCAAACAAAGATTTTGCAGGATTTTGGACAGAGCCATGAACACTTATGGCTATGGGCTCCTAGCACAAGCTGCAATACCAGGGGGGCAGGGTTGGGACCAGAGAGGAATGGGATCTCTTATGCTTGCTGTTTGGACAGCTTCTGCTTCATTTCATCTCACCAGGAGAGAAAATACCCTGTCACAGCCCAGCGGGTGCAAGCCATCACTGGCAGGCTGTTGTGAGGAAGTTGGGGTTTAACATCCTGGCACCAGAATTTCCCATCAGGAGGAAAAAAGCTTTGCTCAGCTCCAAGCAAAAGCTCCTTCAAGAGAGGCTGGGCAAAGGGACACGCATGTTGGTGCATTCCAGTGTGGGAAGGTCCAGCAAACCTAGTCTTGCCTCATTCAGAGGAATGCATGGACATATTTTGTGCTTATGCCTAACTAGTGCTAATAGGCTGAAAAAAGTGTTTTCTTTTTCCTGTTTTGTTTTGGGGATTTTGTTTCTTTGAGTATTTTTTAATGGAAGGGAAACATTCCTGGGAATGGGACCAAGTCATTGCAGAACCAGTTAGAGTTTGTTTCCAGTATGGAGGTGGAAAGCACTTTGCTGGGATGCAGAGATACATATTTAACTGCTTGTTATACAATAGAAAAACAATTGTGTTTAACAGTTGGGCAAGAATCTGAGCAGGAAATGAAGCAGATCATTATCATGTACAATAAAAATATCAAGATTTTTGTATTTGTTCCAAAAAAGATAATGCCAGGATGTATTTTGCACAGGTAGTTCAGGCTTTGCATTCAGCTGCTCTCTCCCCCTGTATCTGATACCATGAAATATTTTAGACATGAGAGTGGGTTTCAGAAAGAGAAAACTAGGCAATTCCAAATCTTTTTTTCTCAGCTATTCAATACTTCAGAAGTTCTTTCTTCAGTGCATCTGCTTTTCTGGATTTATAGCCTATCAATCAGTATGCCACATTTCTTAGAAACACAAAAATATCTAAGGTACTACTTCCTAGGGTTTTTTTCACTCACTGGAAAAAAAGCATGTTTTGTGAGTCTCTTGCAGGGATTGTTTCTATTGCCTTCTTTTGCAATTGTATAATTTTTAAACAAACTTTTTAGAAGCTTGACTTCAACCGAGTTGTAAACATGCATGAAAACATAATTTTTACTGAAAAAGCCTGATCATAAAAAGATGTCAGTAAGTATTTTAAATGTGTGTGGTTTCTGATAGGGCCACCAGACCATCTTCAAATAATAAGCTAGTTCCAATATTGGGCCATTCTCTGACTTTCTGAATTTGAACATGATTGAAAACAGACTGTCCAAGCTGATTTTCAAGCACACACTTAGCTATTTTAATCATTCCTTCTAAATTATCCTCAGATTGCATTTCTTGCTCTTCTGTAAGTTTTCTTGACTGTAACAGTACCAGTTTAGTAATGACAGATTCAGAAAAGACCATGTAACTTGTGCCTGTGCTGCCAGATGCCTTTTTGTCTCTATTACACTATCTACAGAAAGAAACACATGCCATGATGATCAACCTCAAAACCAAGGCGTTTTCTACTGCTCTGAAATACCTATATTTACAAACTTTGAGCTGAATGTCTCTCCAACATCCCGAGTAAGTTACATGGATGTGCCAGGAAGAGCATGGCAGTGCTGTAGCAATGAAAACGAGGGCTGTAGCAATGCCAAAAACATTTGTGAATATCTCAGTAAGTATGGAAAGCATTGTAACTCATGCTTTCAAGTAAATTTCTCTGCATTTCACAGCTTTTGGACAGAAGGGTTGTCAAAGGAAGAAGAATCAGAGAAAATATAGGTAAAAATTCAGCAAATAACAACAAAATTCCATCTCCATAGCTGAAACTACATAGCTCCACAGCTAGATCTCCATAGCTCTGAACTGCAGGACCAGAATAAGCTGGTTGAGAGATAGCCACAAGGTAATAGAATTTGTCTACCTTACATCTGCTTTGACATAGGAAAGAACATCAAATTAGATGCACTCTCCTACCTTGTATCAAATCTGATTGCAGTCCTTCAACACATAACTCACTGTGAAGTTTGCACCTGTGGGCACAAGAGGATCTTTGTTTCTTTGGGTCTTTTTATCCAATGTCTGCCCAACAGACTGGCCAACTGGTTTGTTTTCAGCTTGTAACTTACACTAGTGTCAGCATAAATATTCTTTTCTATTTATATAAATTATGTTACATTTACACTTCTTTTATGTGCTATTTTTATGACATCATTTAAAATTAATTTCCTGAATGTTCCATGATTAATAGTGTCAACAAATTTCTCTAAATTCTGTTCTTTGGAGTACTTTATTTCTCTGGGGTTCATTCCTTGAACTCTTTGTTCCCAGCTCACATCTGGGACTGAAAGGCCAGGCAGAACATACTGAGATGTACAACTCTCTGTTGAGCAGCATCTTTCTTGGCCATCTCTCTGGTGCCTCCACGTTTGCCTCTGACAGTGTCCCCTCTGATATTTGCAAGGCCTTCCAGCTGAACAGAATTTTTCAAGAGTCACTAACAAAAATGCAGTAAATAATGGGAGAAGGGATGGATAAAGTAAAGGTTGGCTGGACTCTTCTCCCCTACTGTTCAGTGGTCTCAATTTTTCTGTAAAAAAAAGTATTTCTCATACTTCTCATGATGAAGCACAGCCTGTGAATGAGTTTGACTTGTTCCCTGTTTCTGCAGGTGGAAAAATCCTGCCTCCTGGCTGGGCAGCCTTTTCTTTTCAGGGGGAACTCAGCAAGGAGCTGGCAAGCTGGTTTGCTGGACAAGAAATCTGTGAGCTCATAACTTCTCACAGAGTAACAGGACAACATTGATACTAGAAACTCAGTCAGGGTGAGTCAGGTCTGCAACTGGATTAAGGGAGAAGGGAACGTTTCCATCCGTTTTGGCTCCTCACGTCGAAACAGTCTGCCATCTGTGAAAGGAGCTGCTTTGTGCTCCCCTCTGCTTTTTACTCCTTGCAGGAAGGCCCCAGATAAATGCCCCATCCCCCAGGAATGCCACCAATCATAAAATAATCCCTCTCCAATTGCTCTCCCAAGCTCTGCTGGCACAATGACGACTGCACACTCTGCCAGAGTTAACAAGCAGGCACATTAATCCCCTCTCTTGCTAGAGAGTCTTTCCAGACCTGCCTCAGCTTTCTGTCAGTTGCTGTGCATGGAGGCAGGTTTGTTCCAGGATGATTCCTTGCAGGCATATTTGCAGGAGAATGCCAAGTGTGCACCTAATCTGAAACGACTGAAGCCCTCGGAGGCATGGGACCAGCTGTGCCGTGCTGCTGGCTCTTTCATTTGCAATTTTTCATTCGTGTGGTTTACTTTGGCTGCTCGTCCTTGGTAAACATTGTACAACACTGAAACCAGGAAATACCCAAAATAAATAAAGAAATGGACGATGATTAATAGACCTTGCTTTGTCTTTCCAAGGATCTGCCTTACTCAGGCCAAATTCTTGCCATCCAAAGAGGAGTAAAACCTCCCTGGGAGCCTATCAGGAGTGAAGGACACCTCTA